AGCCAATAATCCTCGCATTAGAAACCCGTCTGGCTGCTGGTGGCTTAGAGCCTATCGCACAAGTCAACAAGTCCAGGAAGAACAGCAGGTCAGAAACTCAGCTTTGAGACCACGAGGCTGTCAATGCACTTCTGCTTCCATTCTTTTCTTTTTAAGTTTTCACTGGGTCTGATTATTTTTTTTAACATCTTCCACCCTCACTAGATGTTCAGCTGGCCATCTGCATTCAATTATTTTATCTTTCTCCTCGACTCTGCATACTGCTTAGGCTCTTGGACTCAAAATACAAAAAGCTCCAGTCACATTCTCATGTTCTTTATGGTCTGTGCAGCCCAAGCAATGCAGTTTTCCTGGGGATAAATTCTCTAGCTTCATATATCTTCAGTTACTAAAGGCGTGCAAGCAGATTTGAGACTTGCCTGGAGGCACGCTAGCTACATGAAGCAAGGTCCTGAATACTGTTCAAATATTTCAAAATCTTAAGTTTATACATTTTTAAATTCATCACTCTGGGACTTTCTAGAAAGTAACACATTCTACTAAAAATACTAAAGCATTCTCCTGTGATGAGAAAGCAAAGATGATCACCTCCCAGATCTTTAATTGCAAACAGAGCCTTGAAAAATAATCCAGTGAAGTTACTGACTGCTATATCTATAAAGAACTCTAGCTTTAATTCTTCCATGGCAGCATAACTTGATTCTGTACTTCAAGAAAGCTTTCACTTTTGGGAATGAGTATTATTTGAATATCAGTCTTACTGGGAAAAGAGAGGAAGAAAGTTGTGGCTGTGAGCAAACCCCACTCTCCTGGCGAGTCTGCTTGTCCATTTTGTGATCCAGTTTTGTAAGGATGATTCTCCATCCCCACACTTTATGCCAGCTGTCTGATTTTTCTGAGTCAGCTGGATTTTTCATCTAATTTATATTATATACACACAGGCAAACATCCAAATTAAACACTCAGCAGGAAATTCGTACTTGCAAAAGGAACCTGCTTAACTTTTACCAAGATTGAGAGCACATCAACTTCCATACTCAAGTCAAAGCCATCAAGACAATCCTGTCACAGACCCCTCATTTGCCGCACATGGCCCATGAGCACAATAAATCCAACTTCCATCTTCCACCTTTCCCAGAGATGCACCCCTCTAAGACACGACAGTGAAGCTGTCTTGCAAAAAAAAAAAAAAAAAAACCAAAAGGATTCTGGAGGCTGTGACCCCAACTGTCACTCACCTGCCCTGTTATGTGTGCTTCCAAGGTGTCCTAGGAAGAGATCTACAGCATACCTGAACACTGATGCCTTCTTCGGGGTTTCTCTTGGAAAGAACACAGCTAAAGCACATGGGGACTGACTTACTGTAAAACTTATCTTAAGAGAAAGGAAGCAGGAAGACAATTCTCTCAGATTGTTCTGATCTTTCAGGATAAACCATTCAGCCACTCAGGAGTGAGCTCTACCAGCTTCCTTACTTCATGCCACGCTGTGATTTCCATGAGCCAAAACAAGATCTCACTCTTAAGTGATACAAGAAGCATTTCCATCCAGAAAATATCCTTAATATTCTCCTTTCAGCAAGTGATGAGATGTGATTCACAACTGACTTCGATGAGAAGCGCAGTATATCAACAGCTGCAACTTCTGGTCAATGTGAGGTGATAAGGAGGTGAGACAGTATTTATGCTACACAGTTAACATCTGTATTAATGTTACAAGTGCTATCACTTGGCATATCCTCGTGACAACTCCATGTAAGAGCAGTGCGATCACCTTCAGCAATCCTCTTGTGGGAACTGCTTTACAGTTCGGACTTGGCTGACAGGTAGATGCTCCAAGGCTTCAGTTACCCCAGTTTCCAGAGGAGCTACATGGAAAATTATTCTAATCTAAATTAGTTGTCCTTAAAAAGGTACGTGCCTACACTAAACTCTTTTTGTAGAGATTTAGAAGTCCTCTTGTACATTTTGACAGCCTCTGAGTAGTCTATTTACAAATAATGACCAAATGAATTCCAACCAGAGCATTCCATGCCAAGGCACATTACCAGCACCACGCACAGCTTCTTTCAGGCAGGACTTCTGGAGTCCTATGATTGACAAGGTCGCTAATGAACTCTAATTGAAGACTCGGCAGTCTGAAAAATGCAACAACAGATGTGGTAAAAGGGCAAACCACAAACTGTTTTGCTAATTAATGAAAAGTGTCTGGTCTGATGAGGGCCAGTGACCCAAAAATTCTCTTCTTCCACCCACCCTTTTACTTGATGGTCAAGTTTGGACCCTTCCCTTGTCAGCCCAACACTTGGGGGCAGTAATGTACAGCCTTGAACGTATTCCATACACTCATATTGGCACCAAGATGCTCTTTTATTAAAAAGCAGCAGCAGAGCATGGCTTTGAGAGAGTAAGAGGGACCTCAGGGAGGGAACTTAGTGCGGTTATCCTTCCCAGCAGGAACATAAGCCTAGGAAGTAGATGTCAGTTCCTCACCATAGTAGTTTTGGAAACCTTTTTGTATACAAAGACATTTCTAAGTCATCTTCATCTCCTTTCAGTGGATCTTAAGCAAGCATCAAAACAGTAGCTACACTCACCAGTCTGGAGATCAATTCCTATAGAAAAACTATGGAAAGCTGAGCTGCAAGCAGACTTCACGTAATAACCTACACTTCACAACGAAAAAAAATGATGCGGGCCTCTCCTTCGTATCTACTCCAGCATGGCAGCGTAATGAAGCAAGGAAACTAAGCACAAAGGAAGCAGGAGTCAGGGTGCCATCTTTTATAATTCTGTCACAAATGTAATGAACCTGCTCATGTTCATCATGCATTTGGAGCCTGACCTTTTACTTCAAGGAAGTTATTGTCTGGTAATGGTACAGGAAACAGAATAAAAACGTCAGCTGTAAAGGTTTAGATGAAACTTGCCAAAAAAGGTCAAAAAACTATTTGCCTGAGTCTGTCTTATGATGTTTTTGGAACTATTACAGGTGGCAGTGTATACACTGCTCTTGCCTAGCTACAGTGTAGACTTCAGTCTTGCGGACGTCAGGCTGAGAATGGGCTGCAGAAGAGGTCTACAGATGTCTCAACAATAAAGAAATCATACTGGATTTAACAAATTATTTCATCTCCACCCCAGAGAATGGACTGCAGTGACTAGTGTGGGAATCACACAGACCCTCCTTTTAACAAGCATCATTCAAACTGGTCTGTTTCATGTTACACTTGCAATATGAAAAGAAGCCCAGTGAGCGTGTTGCTGATGGAAAGCATGTAGAGCACTAATGAGCACCATCCAAAAGTAATTCCAACATTTAGAGGTAACCAGCAATTTTCTGAGTCATTAAAAAAAAACCTCATAGCAATTATACAGACAAGCTTACCATAGCTCCCCAAACAACTCATTGTTTTGAATGGTCCTTGGAGCTGCTCAAACCCCGATATCCGTTCAGTCCTCCAAATTTCATCAGAAAACCAACCGTGTCACAGCAGATCATATCAATGATTTAGTTATTCTGTGTCCTACCTCCAGCAACAGCCACAAAAATGATGCTTTAGGTTGCCAAGAGTTTTGGTGGCACAGATGCAGCCAATTACTAAATGGTTTCAAGAAAAAGAAATAATCCCTTCCCGCAGGGAATAATTTCTTTCCTGACCCACAGAGCTTTCTTACCTGTATCTTGGCTTATGTAACTAAAAGCAGTATTTAAACAGAATTTGATAAATTTAAGTCAGCCACAGCTTTTTGACCATGGGACTCCTCCCAGGTTCGCTGACACCAGCTTCAATACCACTTAGGAACAGACCTCCTCAACTAAACTTTTACCTGGTAAGCAGCTGCTCTTCCGCACACGAAGATGACAAACAGCTCGGACACAATTTAAACAATTTAATTAAGAGGTACTAGTTCAAATAGCTGCTGTGTGCAGACCCATCAGATTTTTAGCGTTTCTCGGACAAGGTTTGTCAGCATCATGCATAAAATTCAGACCTGCCACAGAAAAGGGATGTACTTCTCACTGCAGATAAGAGGAAGGGTTTAATTGAAAGGTCTAACAGCCCTGTTCCAGCTTCAATGTCCTCTGTCTGCAAATATTTAGAAGCTTAGATCAGAAATAAGCCATATATTTAGACTGGACAATAGAAACAAACTTTCCCAGCTGCCCATATAGTAGGTTCTATATAGATTAAATCCATATTTCAATAATACTTTAAGTTACTCCAGAGGCAACTGTGCCACGCACTGTTTTCGGGGACAGTTGACACTAGCTAGCCTATTATAGCCCAATTGTGCATCACAGGATGTGCAACTAAATCCGATGCAACTAGTAATGAGCACACGCATCCTTCTTAAGTTAGTTTTCTTCATTAGCAGTTTATAGAAGGAAAACAAATGTTTGAGGGACAAGCGGAAAACAGGTATCGGGCACAAGATGGTTGGCCAGGTTTTTTTTTTTTGGATACTCACTGGACTGCAGAATACCTGATCTAGCATAAATTATAAATAGATTTGGGTGTTCTCCAGAACCCCAGTGTTCTGACATATTCTGTCTCAGTAACGTCTTTGAAGCACGTGCCATAGCACATCCACTGCACCTACTGCACAAGTCGTGTGTCAAACTACAAACAGGCAGGTAGTTTATCAGGAGACGATACACACATACAAGGGCATCCTTCAACCTTGTATAAACTGTTCCAAATTACTTTTACTAAACAGCAGCCTCCGAACTGGTAATGACTTCATCAAGAAAGCTGCTAATGACCGCTCATCCGAAAGCGTGTCTGTGCATACACAGTAGTACCTGTTGGCTTGCCCAAAATAAACATGCAGATTCCTGACATTGCTTGGGCAATCGCTGTATCCTTCAACCTTGCCAAAAGACAAGGAGAGAAACAAATCACCACACCTCCGAGATGCTTCAGAAGATGTTCTTACATACCAGATCTTCATTACATCCAGGACAGCCATTACTTGGTCAGAGCATTCAATACTCACCAAGTCAATGAGGTCACTGAGATTCTTCTCTATCTGCTGCGGAGGCAGACGCCTCATCAAATCCAAGGCACAATCCAGCTGCTGGTCACTCTGCAGAAACAAGAACATCCCTCCGTCACAATATGTACAGGTAATATATCACATTCACACACACGCACACGAACTGCAGTGCTTGCTGAATCCTCTGAAAGAAGAGATACAGTTTCTAGTTCTAAGCAGCAGCATGTTTTGTATTAATACAAATAAATTTCAATAAAGTTTGTACCATTTGATCACAGATTATTGACTTGGTATTGCAAGAAGTGTTCTAGACTATGGACGACACCAATTTAACACCATGCTGTTGATGGAAAGGAGTCTGGTCCTTACCTCACCAAAAACTGTTTCCAACGTTTGTGCAAATGTTTAATGCATTGTTTTTCCACGCTATCTCAAGAATAATCTGGGTTAGGGAACTGAAAGTTCCTTCTCCCGAAGCAGTTTTAACACTTCCTCATTTGTATTGTGCCATTCAGCTTGAGATAACTAGTATCCAAGACAAATTCTGTTCCAACACAGAGCTCGCTCTCCCTCCTTCAGCTTTATCAAAAAACCAGAATGAAACACGCACACAAAGTATGATCCATTATTTCCTTCTTGCTACAAAGCACACACCAAAAGCTGCCTGTATCTGAGAAATCAGGGACTTCAGTTATTTTGAGAAATCACAGCAACATCCTCCAAAGGGCTTATTTCAGCTGGTCTCACATCCAATTCTGACACAAAACAAAACCCAAAACCCAACCCTTAAACTTCACTTCACAGTCAGAAAATGTGCAACAGACATTACCACAGACACCAGATGAGCTGAACCATGTTCTTGACATAACCTTTAGCTCTCCTTCTCGCCAACTGTTTATATAACAAACACTTTCCTGCAAGCCTAACAGTACCCAAAATCTGCACGAGTTACTTTGATCAGCAGGTCACCAGGCAGCTGAAGTATAGCCAGTTTGTTTTCACTGCTTCTTCCCCTCCCTTTTTTCTTCGCGATTTCTAGCTACCCATATACAATGAGCTTAGCTTTAATTTCTCCCTCCTGTGTTCTGCCAAGCTCCAAAAGTTTTATTTAAGAAAGCGTTCAAAATTAAAGCAGTTACATTATCACATTATTCAAGTGGCAGCCCCCAGGTAAGGGAGAAACAGGAAGCAAAGTTTCCTGCAATTAAGCTATACCCCAGCAGTGAGGAAAGGAGGGAGCTCTCAGTTTAGTAGACATCCATTACGAAAGCTGTTCTTAAAAGGTACTAACCATTCACTATCAAAAGATAAATATTTTACAGCCAGCAAGCTAGACAGCCTGGTCTGGGGAGATGATATATTTATTTCTCACCCAGTTCAGGTTATAGGACATAATCTTTGCAAAATATTCCAGCTCTACAGACAGTTAGGCACCAACTCCCATACATCTGCATAGTCTCCTGAAGATCTGAGTCTTCAACCTGAAAAGCAGGACGCACTGACACCAAGCACAGAAGTTTACAACAGTCACCTGTCGTCACTGAAGGAGGGCGCATTCAAGTAATGTACATACCCCCCCCCCCATACTCTTTAAATACTTGGATAACCTGACAAGCAAATCCTTGGCTGAAATGAGTCTGGAGTGAAGTTATTTATCTTGGAAAGCGACCACAAATCAATTGCTGAACGGACTATCATCACATTCATGCACAAAAGCGATGGCCAAGATTTTCAAAACTTTTTACTTATCTTCATTAGAAGTTCAGGGGAAGCGAAAACTACTCGCTTTCTGCTACTAACCTTTCAGGCCCCAGAGAAGGATACTATTTAGATGGCCTACGCCTGCCCAGCTCCAGCAGCCAAGCTCAGGCAGGGGATCTTTCTTACCAAGTATTGTCTTTACCTCCCGCTACCTCTTATGTCAAGGAAGGAAAGCTGGCACATGGTCACAAGGTCATGCTCCTCACTTTGGGATCGTGGGAACAGTTACGGAAGTGCTCCGTCCTCCTCTGCCAGCTGCAACTGTTTAATAGGCAAAAAAGCCTAGGGAAAGATGATGTTAAAAACCACCACTAAAGCTGCAACCCCAGAATAAGTGTTCTACAGTGCGACGATTTTGGAATAAACTACACTGAATGAAGAAGTATCTACATTTGCAGTGTTTTATGGATTAACCAAAAGAACTTGGACTGACCATTTTTATAACAATATATTCAATAACAGCTGTAAAAAGACACGAGCAAGCCTGTTTAAGGCGGAGATTCTTAACGGGGTTCAGACATGGCTGGCGTACATGGCTGTGTGCAACGGAAAAAACAAAAATATCCAAGCACATACTAACAGTGTATTTTTCTGGTATCAAAGAGGTAAAAGCAAGGCTGAGCAGCAGGACTCCTCAGTTTTCTGGCAGAGCATTTAAATAATTAAATGGCTTGCCAGAAGATCTCTTAAAGCACTGAAATAAAGACAGGTTCTGCCGTATTTCTGTCCCTAAATCTGTGGTTATACGGTCACTTTAATCCAGCATAAATCCGTGCTGGCACAGTCAAAAAGGCAATACAAAGCACAGAGATTAAAGAGCACAGTGGTACTGGATACATCTGGTATGTCCTACTTCAGAACCGAACAGGTAATTCTACCAGTATCTTTCGTTTCTGGTTCTTTCACTGTAGGTGACGTGAGGTTTTAAAAAACCAGGTCTGTGGTCAAATACATCCTTTGGTTCCAGACCTCTGCCCCAGCTGGAGTGTCTAGAGTAGCTGTAGGTACTTACATACGAAGAGATAGGAATCACATCCAAGGTATCAAAACCAGCAGCACACGGTTCCCTGATTTTATAGAAGAATGAACGCTCCCAGGGAGTTTACTGCAATTTTGACAGCAGCATGTTATTAGAGGCACTTAAAAATCCCACAAAGCCTTCACACAACCTGTGTAAGAGGAAGGTGTTCTTCGGGAACTTGGGATACGTGTCACCTACTCTATGTGTCTCTCAACTTCACCTGTTCTGGATTTCCATTTGCTTAATTCTCTTTTAACATTGCATACTGAAGCCGTGGTTGCTTAACAGATCTCCAGACAAAACATTTCTACAGAATTCTTGCCTTTAGACATGAAGAGGCTTATAAACCCCTGCTCGCTGAGAAGGTGATTAGACAGGCTGTCTCCCAGTCTGGGCTGCTCTTGAAGCCAAGCTCTTTGAGGTTGCAGGGCTTAATGAGCTTAGTGTTTACTTGATATGAGGCCGTTTTCCACCATTCCTGTTTCATCCAGCACAGAGCTCCTGTGGAGGAGTAGGGAGTTCAGACAGAAATATTAAATGAAGTTTTATTACAGCTCAAGTCACTGAAGGATTTAGAGATCATTGGAATCTCAAAGACTGAAAATATTAGCTTAGATGAAAGCTCCTTAATAAGTTTCCTCCAAAGATGTTTGGCTATCTAGAATCTCCACTTAAGCATCTGCTATAGCGTTCCCATGGTACTACCACAGGGAAAAGTGTTATGAATATGTCTACAGGAGTAGTTATGTTTGTTTAGCTTCCTTTGCCTGCATCTGCTCTTCTCTTCAGTCTTTCAGCTGTATTTAGCGTATTTCCAAAAGAGAAACCCTCTCAGAACAGCCGTAGGTCTCTGGTCATCTAGGCACTCTGTGTTGAGGCTCAAATAAAAACAAATCCTGCTGAAAAAAAGGCAGTTGTATAAATGTGTTGTTGCACAGAGGTACAGTCGTCTACTTTAATTCCATTCATACTGTAAGCAATATTGTTCAAAGGCTGAGTATGCAGAACAAATAAAAAAAAACCAGGAAGTTACTGTAGGTTTTGTTCAGGAGTTTTGAGGAGGTGTGTTTGTAGATTGTGTAATAAAACAATGTGATTCCACTTTCAGCACTTGAAACAAGGGTGTGCTATGGTCATTGTTATTAATTTTAAGAGCAAGGGACTCTTCTGAGTCATTTGTTTGCAGTTACCATAAAAGGGGATGCAAATTGCAAAAATTAAAACAGGCAAAACACTGAACTTCCTTTTTACTCCCACTTGTTGTGTCCCCTAAACCACACGGTTCCTTAGGATAAGGGGGGGACAGGGCACAGGAAGAGCTGGCATTTGTTAATGGTCCCCTGCCAGGATACCATACGCTGATAACATCGGGCAACAGGAGCTGACCCAAGATTATGCAAACCTGCAAGCAAGCGAACAACTTCTCATGCAGCTGTTACAGTTCACGGCACCCAAATATGCTCTGCCAGACTAAGGTAATAAACAAACCACACCATATTTGCATTGTATTTTGCACAGAATTGTCACCTGATAAATGAGGTGGTTATAAGCCAAGATGTGTACCCAAAGCCTTTCAAAGATCAGTGTCACTGGCAGAACTGGTAACACTTCACAGAAGCTATGCTTGTTTTCTCTTTTCAATAGACACTAGCAATCTGATGAGTTACTACCTACAAGTATTTTGGACTTCTCTTTTTAAATATCTTTACACACGCCTTTCACTATATACACTTACAGAAATCCACAGGCTTTATTCACAAGTTTTCACAACTCTCCGTTGCTAGTTACCTGAGACTTAACCTATACTCCGGGTTTTAAGAGGGTTTACCCAAACCTGCAGCTCTACCCATTTCAAAGGCTAAGCCATTCCACTTGAAAGGAGGTAAAGATTTCATTTAAACCTCCCAGCCTTACCATCAGCAGGAATTTGCTTCTATTTATCACAAAGACCTGCAGATTTAATTCCCTGGTCTTCACAGCTTTGTTCTGATAGCTCCTGCTCATTTGACTATGTTATTGCTGAGCGTAAAGAGTTAGGCAGTTTCTTCAAAAAGAAAACCAGGCTGGTTTCACTTCTGTATTGTATTTCTATATTAACACTACTCTAAGCTAACTCCTGAACCAAGAGAAACCAGCTGAGGTAGTTCAGTGCTACTGCAGCGGTAGCTTCTCCCTGTTTTAGCCCTTTCTGGGAAATAAGCCACTTGGGCCACCAAACCTTTCCCACCAGCAAACCAAATATAACACTTCTACTCAAGGCATGATTGTGCTACCTACCCCCTTTCCCATCTGTGATGCCAGCTGAGAAGAATCGGGTGACCTAAAA